AAGACTAAAAACTGCCTAACAAATCTCATATAACACTTGGAAATGCAAGCCAAGAAGCCAAATGAAAATATTTTTGATTGTGGGTTTTCAGCCTGAGCATTAAGCTCTGGTTCTAGTGCACCCTGGAATCAGTAACTTCCTCCATATGTTTCTGTTTGTTAGAGGTAGGCTTGCTTCAATGCAGTGATGTGGGGTTGGGTGGCAAATGAGTCAGGAAATGTTCAAAATGAAAGCCAGGCATTCAGTCACTCACATCATCCTCTCTCCAATTTCAAGAGGCTGGTTCATACCATGCCACGTGCGGCTTCTAGAACAGAGGGCCAAATTGGCCCAAATGTCTAAAATCCTTTTAGTTGAATCCATTATACTAATATCTGACAATTATGAACTAAGTCTCATTTAACATGCTTGGCCGCTCTCTCTTAAAAGGCAATAATTACTGAAAAGAGTGAGTTGTATAAACCTGTTTCCCAGCACGTTGGTTGACAAGACACCCCACTGGTTATAATGCAACCATCAGGCAGAGCTTTTTATATTTAATGTTGAACAAATTATCCTTCATAAATGGCAGATTGAGGATTCTCACTGTCAATCTTGCTTTCCATCCAGCTACATTTCCATTTCACAGAACATCTTGAATCTAGCTGAGGGAGGTCCCTAAAAATATAGAGCAAAAATAAATGCACAAGGAAGAAGTCTAATAAGAACCTCTCTGCTAAGTCAATAACGGTTAGGTATTTTTTGGTGAAAACTCCCACAAAGGGTGACTTCCAAAACCCTGAGATCAGTGTGTGCCTCTGCATCCACAGCAAGAGTATCAAGAGGAATAGGGTTGGGAAGACTTGTGTCTGCGCCATATCAAGTGCCTTACGTTGCAAAAATATATAGAATATGAAGCTGCAATGCATTGTTAAAAGTCATCTAATCTGACCCACTGTGGAAATTTCCATTCAAGTGGAAATTCAAACTCCATGGGATTACTCTTCATACTGGGTCATTCAAGGTCTCCTGAAAGGAATCCTTTGCATTGCTGGGCAGCTCCCTCCCCAAGTTCTTAATCATGAGCCACAACCTATAGACTTTTTTTCTATTTTTTTCATATTAAAAATATAATGTATTATTTGTTTCAGGGGTACAAGTCTGTGATTCATCAGTCTTATATAATACCCAGTGCTCATTACAACACATACCCTCCCCAATGTCCATCACCCAGTTACCCCATCCCTCATCCCCCTCCGCTCCAGCAACCCTCAGTTTGTTTCCTAAGATTAATAGTCTCTTATGGTTTGTCTCCCTCTCCGGTTTCCTCTTGTTTCATTTTTATTTCTACCCATTTCCCCCTCCAGAGAAACATCTGATTTTGTACCACAAACCTTCCTTGCTAAAATATAAAATTGTATGATCCCCCTTAAAAATGTTTTAAATCATGACATCACTTAATGAGGAATAAGTAATTTTAAATGACTTCCATTTTATATGAGGATATTATTAAACATTCTGTTAGAAAGTTTGTTTTATTATAATCAAGTATACAGAGCAAACATGCAAAGATAAATTTTTATTTTTCCCTATTTATCAAGTTGTATAAATGATGTAATCTACTTTAATCATGTGAAAAAATGCATTCAAGTTATACTGTATGTAGTTTGCAAAAGAATGCATCTTGAACTGAAGATTAAATCTTAAGTATCTGTTTTAATATCAAGAATATTGTTTACTAGGCACTGGAGATGAAGAATATGTAGAAGATGAAGAATCTGTAGAGCCAGTCTCCACCCCCAGAGATGCTGATTCAGTTGTTCAAGAATGAGGCTCTACTGCTGATATCTTGTGAAATCTACTCAAAGGATTTTATTGTAGATCAAGTTGACAACCACCAGTCATTGGTGATAGTCACTCTGAATGAAATGCAGGTTAAAACTGTTCACCCACAAGACATTTGAAATACCTATACCTGACAAAGAACACATAACGAGAGTATACAAAGAACGATTACAGGCTTTTTTTAAAGAAGGAAACCCCATTAAAAATGTGCAAAATCTTGGACAGGCACTTCATAAAAGAGAATATCCAAATGACAAATTAAAAAAGGGTCTTTGTTTTCATTAGTCATCACAGGAATGTAAATTAAACACAGTGTAATACCAGACACCAGACACCCACCATAATGGCTAACATGAGCAAGCCAGACAATATCAAGTCTTGTCTAGGATGAAGAGCAACTGGAATTCTCCTATGCTGCCGATGGCTGTGTAACTAGGTATAAATTCTTTGACAGGTGGTTTGGCAGCATCAGCTAAAGCTGAATATATCTATACCCAGAGGCAGTTCCTCTTCTAGGTACACTACATTCAAAAGAAATATGTACGTATCTGCACCATAAGACATGTAGAATATTATTCTACTATTCATACTAGTCAAAAACCGGAAACAACCAAGTCCCTCAGCAGTAGAAAGGCTAAATAAACTAAAATATATTCACACAAAGGGATACTATATAGCAACAGGAATGCAAAAACTATTGCTACCTCCCAAAATATGAATGCATCTCACAATGTTGAGCCAAAGTAAGGTACAAAGTGAATATAATCTGTATAATTCAATTTTATGAAATGCATAAACAGGCAAAGTGCATCAACAGTGTTAGAAGTCAGGATAGTAGTTACGTCTGGGGAGAGAGATAGTGACTGGAAGTGAGCATAAAGGGGCTCCTGAGATGTTGGGGTGTTTTTATTTGGGGGCTGGTCACCTGAGTTTGTTCACTTTTTGGAAATTCACACTAATGATCTTATACTTTCTGACTGTAGTCACATTTCAAACATTTTTTAATTTACTCAACATCAAAAATAATAGGGGTACCTGGGTGGCTCAGTCAATTGAGGATCCAAATCTTGGTTTCGGCTCAGGTCATGATCTCAGGATTCTGGGATCAAGCCCCGCAATGGGCTCCACGCTCAGTGTGGAGTCTCCTCTAGAGTCCCTCTCCCTCCTCATCTGCCCCTCCCCTGCTTGCACATGCACACTCTCTTTCTCTCTTCCCCCCACTACCTCTCTAAAATAAATAAATAAATAAAATCCTAAAAAAAATAGTAATCTCTTATTAGGACAGCATTTTATAATTTGCAAGCTGTTTTCACATGTTGTCCCACTCAATTCTCTCTTTAATTAACTGACTCATTTATTCACCAAAATTTATTATATCTTATATGTGCAAGGGGCTGTGCTAGGTGGTGCAAGCAATACAGAGGCTACTAAGACATGGTTATTGGCCTCTGGGAGCTTACAGGACTAAAAATTTGAAGAGAAATACATTGTGAGGCAAAATTAGCAGCAATAGTTTATCATCTCCTGCATACTAGGCACTATGTATTACCTACATTATCTCACATTTAACAACTTCAAGAAAATATTCTAATATTGTATTTATTTTCTTCTGTAAAGATTTAGTATTGTATGAAGGAAACTATAATGAGATTTTCTGGGAAAAGAAAAGAAATTTGCTCCCAGAGTCCATGTCTAGAGGGGCAAATGTAAAGTATAAGCATGCTGACCTGCTCTCTTCAGTGATTTCATCAACTAGTTCAGAGGACCAGAGGATGAATTAAATTGATTCACAGGCACAGAAATATAACTACAAATTCCATGCCAATATTTGTTTCCTTTGATTATTTTACATGGCAACATCTAAGAGGGACTGTGTATTAATTTAAATTTATTTCCTGAAACCTAAGAAGCTTAAACATTTCAAATAAAGTACCAGTCTGAAAGAAATATGAGCAAAGCTTTAATGGTGGGCTGTAAAGATAAGCTGGCGTAAGTATTTCCAAGAAAAGTTTAATGCTTCCAATTCATAGAATGTGGGCTTTACAAATGAATAAATCTCCCACGAGTTCATGTCTAGGAATATATGTGACACTTCGTATCAGTGACATAGCATGATAAATAGCACTTTTGAGAGCATGTGAATCTATCTTACAGGATTAATCCTGTACAACCTATGGAATTTTACAGATTCCCAATTCAGTAGCTTTTGTTTGACATTTTACGTTTTTGTTTTTTTTTTAATTTGTTCCATGGTAACATTTTGTTGACTTTATCCATATTTGGTCCATTCTCAAAACAGACATCTCTTATTATTGGCTTAGTCCAACACCTTGAAACAGAATGGCAGCCAGTAAATCTCACCATATGAAATTATCTGCTGTAACTAAATCATTCACTCAAACTTTATTGGGTCATGTTGCAGGTGCTGTGTTCCAGGCACTGTGCTACGCACAGAGAAAGCAGCTGAATAACCGTAGGCCACTCTATAGGAGCGAGCAGGGCAGCTTGGAGTGGTCATACCTTGGAATACTCATACCTGTGAAGAATGAACACAATGTTCCAGGCACTGTGCTTAGCACTAGGTGTCGTAAGAATGAATGAGACAAGGCTCCTACCTCAGAAAAGCTCACAGTCCTTGGAAGTGAGAAGCATATAAGTGCATATGCTGGAGGATAAGTATATCCGAAAAGAGGTGTGAACTGAATGTTATGGCTGGAGAGGAAGCCACGTGTTCTGCATTATAAAAATCAGAGTTTCAAAGAAGCAATAGGTGAGTTGGTGGTGAAGGCAAGGAAACTACATATGAAAAGTGTAGAGAGACTCATCCACTCCCTCTTTCCAAGTTCATATTTCAATTCATAAATTGGGACTTCAATCCTCTTAGAGATCTTGGGAAGATTCCTTTGATCTCTCACTCATTCCACCCTAGATGAAACAGAGATGATGGGATTGATAAGACTGAGAAGCCTCAGTTCTTGTGCTTACTTCCCACAGGCAGCAAGAATATTCCACCAAGGTATGCCAGCTCCAGGTTTCCCAGGCCTCTGTGGGAGGCCTGCAGTTATCCAGTTGCTTCATCCATGACCAACTAGGTAGGCTCAGGACCCTGGATCCAAGCTGCCTCTTCCTAGTCTGCTTTACTCATACTAAAGTTGATTTATTGATCCTTGCCTCTTATGACTCTTCAATTGTTTCAGAATCTGGAAAGGAGAATTGATTTCCTCTTCAAATGACTCTCAAATCCCAATACAAAGGTATTTCATTGTTTCTGAGTTTGATGTGTAACAAAAATGGTGGGAAATGGATAGAGGAAATGATGGGGAAGATAGAATTGGAGAGGGAGTTGGAAAACAGATTGTGAGGGATATTTTATATCATGGCAAGGAAAATTTACTTTATCTTGTCAGCAATTAGGAGACTACAGGAATCCTCAAGCAAGGTAATAAGAGGATCAGATTTCTTTTGAACATATTAACTCTAGTAGTAAAATGATGGATTAGTAACAGATCCAATATACTGTTTATGATGACAAAGAATCAATGAGTTATTGGTATGCTATACAGCACAACATCTAAGCATAAGAAAGACTTGGGTTTAAATACCTGCTCTGCAGTTAACTACGTAACCTTGGCCCAGTAACCGAACATCTTTCAATTTAAGTTTAATCACCGTCTATGTGGACAGTACCTAGCTCATAGTGTTGATTTGAAGGTTAATTAAATGAAAAATTAGATGCATACAGTAAGCAATGAATAATGTTGGTTTTTATTAGTCCTCTAAGATTTGAGATCCTCGTTGTCATATCCAATGTACAACATCTAGGGTAATCATTGGTGCGGCAGTGCTTCTCAACTTCAGCCCATGTTGTCCATCAAAATGAATCAAGACACTTTGGAAAGTATATATGCTGAGGCCACACCACACAAGATTCTGATTCAGTCGGAGGGCCCAAGCACCTGCATATACTGTAGGTTCCACAAGTAATTCTCATGCACAGCCACAATTAAGAATACTTATTTAGTATATCATAGATTAAACACTACTTTCAGGTTCATTAGAATATATGTTTTGCTTATATATCATAAATAACATAGTAGTTAACTTGGAGTTTATAAATCTCTGTGCCTCAGTTTCCAAAGTTACAATATGAAGAAATAGGAATAGCATTCTTATATAGAGCCAGGACTTTACCTAAAGATAATAATGCATTCATCTAAGACCAGGAAAGCCAAGGTATATTCAAATGAAGGGATCCAGGTGAAGTGATTAAAAAAAACAGCAACCATATTGCTTAGTCCATAATTCAAACACACAGATAAGTCAGAGGTCAGACATTGCAGTAAGTCAGAAACCAAGAAGAAAAGGAAAAATCAATGCCTGCAAGGAAGGTCAGAGCAAACAGCAGGTGAGTGCAGAGACAAGAAGATTTAGAAGAACTGAAGATTCCCAAAGCTGGAAGGCAAGGCAAAAGCTCAGGCAGGTCAGTAGGAACCAGGTGACCTACAAGTAAGAAGAGAAGAAAAGATGCCAGGTACCAACAAAAAGGAGAGTTTGATTTTAAGGCAACCTCCAGTCCCTGGCAGGAAGGCTTTTATACTTTCTGCTGCAGTACGAACCAGTCCAGGACTGCAGGTGGAAGCAAGTAAATGCATAAAAACAGAGGAGGTGAAGCTCCTAGGGGAGCAGGAATAGCACAAGATCTCTGGTGAATAATACTAGATAACTACAAAAATGCAAAAACACTCACAAACAATATTTATATTAAGTACTACTAAAACATGATTTTATATTCAAAAAACTGTGACAAATGACTGAAAATATGAAAAAGAGTAATGTGACTTAAAAAGAAAAATGAAACACAAAGAGTAACTTCTTTCATCCATTCATTCATTCATTCAGCTGAATATCAATTATTGAATGCCTTCAATTGTCAAGCCCTGTGCTAGGCACTGGATATCAGGACAAAAACAGTCTCCAAGGATCTTACTGTCTAGCAGGAGTAACAAAGATAGAATTATTACAGTGTGATGCATGAAGTCCTATGATAGAGTTAACATTAGGGTGCCAGGAAAGACATCCCAAGGAGAAGCTTTGAAAAGTTCACAGGAATTAGTTAGAGAGAATGTAATCTACTGTGAATGAGTAGCACAAGCAAGGACAAGCTGGCAAGAGAGGGCAAGGCATGTTTGAAGATTCAGAAGTAATTCAATATGGCTAGAGCATATGTTGTGAGGCTGGGGAAGCTGCAGCTGGAGAGACAGACTGGGGACCTCTAAATGAAAGGCCACAGTAAAATATTTGGATTTTATCCAAAATATAATTCTCTCTGACTTCTAATAATTTTATGTAATATGTTCAAGTATCTGCAACAGAAAATGGAACATGAAGTAGAAAACCAAATAACACATATGAATTCAGACATGCAATTATCCATGCATTGTCAGATAAGGATTCTAGTTAAGAAAGAGCTGGTTCAGACCAGTTCTAAAAATACAAGGGAGCCCCTTTTTAGGGGGATAGCTCCAAATGTTTACATCAAAATTTATTGTGTCTGTTCCAGGATTTGGTATTTAAAAAATCATCTTAAAGTCTATAAAGATTACATCAAGGTCTATAGACAAATCTAACTTTATTACATATGAATTTTTTAAAAATAAATATAAACTTACATCTCTGAAAATGAAGGAAGGGTAGAATAAAGAGTTATCGCATCAAACAAGAAGGATGTGTTGATTTAAATACAAAGTGGTTAGAGATTCCCGTTTTTTGATAACCATACACTCTCAACCATCTGAGGATATGATGTCAGTGTAGGGAGCAGTCCCAGTGAAGACCTTAAGGAAATTTATGTAGAGAGATTTTATACCTTTTTCTTCCCAAATATCCACTAAATCAATTTTTTTCCTATTCTTAGCGTGATGGAAATAATATACCACTGAGCGGTTTCAAAACATTACAAATTTAAGATGTGCAAATTCCACTGGGCTCCCTGCCCTGACCAGCACATCTTAGCCAACTCCCTTTCTCTCCCCTCAGCAGCTATGCCAAACACATCTTTGCCTAAGTTTTCTCACTCACTTGCAACAAACTTCCTTGTTACTACTCACTGGATGTAGGAACTGAGTAGGAGAGGTTACATACACAGTTGACTTACGATTGTGAGATCAGTGGACAGGCAAGAAAACACCCACATTTAAGAGGTAACTGGATGATGGTCTTAGAGAGGACTGAAAAGAAGAGGACAAAAAAATCAGGAGGTGACCAGAGGTTTTAGCATTACGAAATTCGAACAGAATCAAAGGCCACTGAGAGGTCAAATATGTTAAGGGCCAAAAAGTCCACTGAGTATGGCAATACGATGATCATGGTAAGTAATGACTTTATCTCAAATAATTTCAACGGGGTGACAAGAATTGAAACCAGGTTGTAGTGGGCCGAACAGCAAATGAGAGTGTTAAAAAGGAAAAAGCTGGGCGCCTGGGTGGCTCAGTTGGTTAGGCGACTGCCTTCGGCTCAGGTCATGATCCTGGAGTCCCGGGATCGAGTCCCGCATCAGGCTCCCTGCTCAGCTGGGGGTCTGCTTCTCCCTCTGACCCTCGCCCCTCTCATGTGCTCTCTCTCATTCTCTCTCTCTCAAATAAATAAATAAAATCTTTAAAAAAAAAAAAAAAGGAAAAAGCAAGTGCATACTACTCTCTCAAGAGGGTCATCTGTGAAATAGGGATGTGTCATGACTGCTATAGAGGGCTGGAGGACGAAAGAAGGTTTCATTGTGGCTATGGCAATGGTGGTGATGATGGTGGGGTAGTGGAGGAGGTGGCAGAAGGGATGGTACAGATGACAGATATGAAGGTGGTGGTGGTCTCGGAGGTGATGAAGATGGTAGTGGTGGCAGAGACAGCGAAGGTGCTGGTGAAGATGCTGGTGGGAGGTGGCAGTTTAAGTGATGGTGCAGGCGGTGATGGTGGTGGTAGTGGTGATTGTAGAAATGGAAACAGTAGTTTTAAATAAAGAGAATACTTGAGCATGTTTATCCACGAAGGTGAAAGAAGCAGTAAGAGAAAGAGAATAAAGAAAAAAAAAGGATGGAGTAGGTCCCAAAGGAAAATAGACAAGGAGGTTAGAGCACAAGTGGAAGAACCGAACTGCAACGCTATCTTCCATAGTTAAGGTTCCCATAATGAACCGCCTGCAGTTCTCCAAGTGTGTCATGGACTTGTATGCTGCTCTGCCTTTGTACTGGAGCTATTCCCTTAGCCTAGAACATCCTTTCTACCTCTTGTCCTCTCTATATTCTATTTTTTCTTAAAAAAATAGAAAAAAAAAAAGTCTTCCAGGAAGACTTTTCTAATCCACTCCCCTAGTTTCATAGGATGCCTATTCTCTGGGCTTCCATAATACACACTCATGGTCCATCACAAGACTTTTCATACATGTTGTAATCGTTTTAATCTCCAGTAGAATTTAAGATCCATGAAAGCAAACATTAGACTTTCATTTATGAATTCAACAAAATTAACATAGCACTACTACTACTAATAAAAATCTATTGATCTCTGACCAAATGCCAAGCAATAGAGAACGAATTTCAACCCACCTGCTTTTGTGAATAAAGTTTTATTGGAACACAGCCACACCCATTCATTTTTATATTGTCTATGGCTGCTTTCTCACTACATTGGCAAATTGAGTAGTTGAGACAGAGAATATATGGTCTACAGAGCCTAAAATGTTCATTATCTGACCCTTTACAGAAAGTTTGCCAGCCCCTGGTTTAACCAATAGAAATACAATAGTAAATTAACCCTGTGTCATAGGAATCTATACTTCAGTGGGAGACACAAGCAATTATCATGCAATATTACATGTATTTTGATAGTAGGAATTAAAATTGCTATTGGAGCACTTATGTTTTAATCTAAACTTTGGGGGATCAGGGTTTTTGCACTAACACTGGTTGGCATGCTAGTAGATGCTCTATAAGTGAACTGATTTTTGTTGAAGGGAAGAATTTATTTAGGACATGAAATACTTGAGCAAGATGCTAAGAGATACAGTTGAGACACTCTTCCAAAAGACTACTGGTATTTCTACTACAGGGAACTAAACTCTCAATTATCACATTGTAAAACCTAAATTATCCAAATCTTTCAGACTTGTATCCTGTTCCAAAGAGGTAAGACTCCAGCTGGGGCCCCCCAAGCAATAAAATAAAAAATCTGATTCTGGTGTCCAGTCTGCGGGGCTGACTGTAACGCTTGCTAATGGCTGGGAGACCTACGTAGTCTTTATATTGTTCTTTCAACTTCTTTCCCAAGACTTTATTGTGACTTTTTAATGTTAAAGCCTAGCTAAAAAGATGACCTTAATATCCTCTTGTTTCTGTTTATTTTACATATACACATACACTCACAGTCTTATGTTACACTCAATATTGTTTCACAAATAATACATACATCTGTATCTATACACATACACATACAATACATATATACACACAGCCCACACATCTTTCATACATACAATGGAATCTCATATCTCTAAAAAAATATGTGCAGAACTCAAATCTAATACATCCATACTTATATATAAATTTATCCTACATCAGAGATGGCAAATAGATTCTACTGAAAGGTCAGTGACAATCACAGAGGCTGCACTAGGTTGAGAAATTTTGGAGGCAACTTCTGAGCACATAAGAAGTAGAGGACTATAATTCTTCAGTGACATTGGTCTTGGATACCAGAGGTGAAATGGTGGACATGGGTCAACTTATTTGCCACCCCTGACACTTAAGGATGTCATATTCATAAAGTTCTTAAATATACTCTTGCCCCAAGCTTACCACATGTAAATGGACAGTGACTGGCTCTCCCAAGAACTGAGGCAGGTGGAAAAGTTCTTGATGGGGATGACCTTGATGGAGAAAGTAAGAATAATAATAACTTACTTCTGCAAAGCACTTTACTGATTTCAAAGTATCCTCATGGGTGCTATCTCATTGAATCTCTGCAATTTTCTTTATTTATAGATTACAAAGCCCAAGTCAGTAGAGCTCAGCAGTTGCTCATTCATGGTCATGTGGAAATTTTGGCAGAAACTTAACACAGAAGGTTTGACTCCCAGCTGTGATACTTTCAGGGACAAAAGGCAGCATCCCAGGTAATTGGAGGTAGCACACTGCTCTGAGGTAAGAGTGAGTAGGTGTTACCACACATTATTTTACTCATTCATGTAGTCAACAACAATTAAATTCTTACTGTATGCAGGACACAATCACGAAGATTATGAGAGTGGTTTGAAAAGTTATGACAAGCTGTTCTGAAGAAAAATGTTATATACAAGGCAAGAACTTACTACAACATTATAAGTGTTAAAACAAATAGTCAATGTAATAAATATATATCTATCACCTCCCATGGGACAGGCACTGTGCTAGGTGCCAGAGATACAAATAAGAACCAAAAAGTCCCTAATGTGGGATGTCTTGATGGCTCAGTCGGTTAAGCGTCTGCCTTCGGCTCAGGTCAAGATCCCAGCACCCTGGGATCGAGCCCCACATCGGGCTGCCTGCTCATCGGGGAGCCTGCTTCTCTCTCTCTCTCTGCCCCTCCCCCTGCTTGTTCTCTCTCTCTCAATCTGTCAAATAAATAAATAAATAAAATCTTAAAAAAAAATCCCTAATGCTAAGGAGCTCACAGGCATTTTTTTCTTAGTTCCCTAAATTAATTCCCAATCATTCTAATAATTTGATTTCCGTACAAATCACCTGTGTTAATGTGTTAAACCGGAGAATTTTTGTCGAGTGGGCTCCAAGAACCTGAATTTTTAATAAGTCCCAAAATATCCCTGATGCAAGTACTATTCACTATGAAATTCATTACTAACCCTTCCAAAGAGCCACAGAGGCTGCATAAAATGTAGGAACCTGGTTTCTGGTCTGCTAGTCTCCAAAGAATGAATACCTGAGGTGTTCTTCCATCCAGGCCTCCATGTTCAGTGCCGGTTTGAAATATTCTGTACACTGAAAACATGAATTCCATAAACCTCATCAAGTTGGTGATGATGTTCTGTATCTGCTCCTGTATCTCTATCTATGCAGGTGTATATAAGCATACTGTGCAAAACACACTGGTACTTTAACATTGCTCAGTAGCTTTTGAATAACCTTTCTAAGTATAGCTGAATGAAAATAAAATGCCCCAATCACAACCCTATGCTCAAAAATGCATCATCAGCATGCTGGGGAGCTACCCTAATCTTTTCAGACCCATATCTTAGAAACTTGCTCATTTGCTACATATTTTCCCCTTACAAATTATCTTGATACCCTACTGTCCTGATTTACCTTGCATAAAATTGTTGAAGACATTCATTTTAATTTGATATGAACCTACGCCCTTGCATGAAATCATGGCACTGTGCATAAGTATCTATATTTTTAGCAAACAATTACATCATGTGGCCATATGATGTAATACTATAAAGCTGTTAAAATAATTGTGTAGCAGAATAATAGACAAAATTATGAATGATATTCTGTGGAAAAATTAAGTTGCAAAATAAGAAATCCCACTTTAACATAAAATATCTATACATCTATCATACATATGTGTACATATGTAATACATGTATTCTTTAAGGGGCACCTGGGTGGCTCAGTCTGTTAAACATCTGTCATGGCTCAGCATCATGTTAAAGTCACTCAAGGTCCTGGGACTGAGCCCCATGTCGGGCTCCCTGCTTGGTTGGGAGCCTGCTTCTCCCTCTCCCTCTGACCCTCCACCCCCGACCTCCCCCCTACCCCAGTTGCACACATGTGCTGTCTCAAATAAATAAATAAAATCATTTTAAAAAATTAAAATAAAAAAATAAAATACATGTATTCCTTGAAAATGTAGGAATATTTCTCATAATGGCTACCTCAGATAATAAGATAATAAGTAATTATTATTTTTCTGGGTTTTTTGCATTTATATATTTTCTAAATTTTCTACAATGTGTTACTTTGTGATCAGAAAAAGGTATTATTTAGCAAGACAGTATATTCAGTATGCTTCTATTTTATTTTAAAAGTTATGCAGGAATAACATGCACACAAATATTATTAGTACTTATCTTTGAGTGAGAGATTACAAATGATTTTTTTCTTCTTGGTGCCTTTCTTCATTTTTAATTTTCTATGACATGCATGTATGGTTTTACTTTTAAAAGTAAAACAGAACTACAAAAAAAATCCAGAGCTGGATTAACAGAAATTATCCTCAAAAGGTAGAACATTAAGTCATTGTAAAACCTGGATATTTGGGGGCATTAAGGGCCTTTTCTTATTACAGACTTCACCTTGAGAAACGCTTTACCTGAAATCAATCATCTCTAGCCTCATTATTTCCTCCTCTAAAAGAATTTTTACCCAAAAACAACTTCCTTTGGCACATTATAGCAACTGTTACCAGTATAATAAATACAGAGTATTGTGAAAGCAACGAAAGATAAATTTTCTAACACCCCATAAAAATTTTAAAATAAGCAAAAATAGGCTATCAAAAGAATTTTGATAAGAAAATCTAAACTGAGTGATGGTTTTATGTATATATCTTAAAATAGAAATATGAAGCCATCATCATTTAAGTTCAGCTCAGAAGTTGGGGTTATTTGGATACCTAACACACTAATGAAAATCCACTTCTGCAGAGGAGCTGGTAGTCTCATCACAACAGTTCCTGAAACGGATTTGAGGCATACATTTGGGCCTTAATAAAAGGAGTAACAGTGTAGTCATGAACACTTTCATTTTAAAATGGTAGACATGACTCTAGCCTCAAAATGAGAAAAGATTCCCTATCCCCTTTGACAGGACACTGTTGCTATGGTAACAGTCCACTAGCCTGTGGCTGAGCAGCTTTGGATGGCTTTAGTTTGAGTGGACAAGCTAAGACATGTTTGAATCACCTTGCTCACACAGCAACCTGACCAAAAAGCCCTTTATATAAAAACAAATTATCCACTTTTTTTTTTTTAACCCCATGGCTTGGAGGCAGTCTATGTGGTGAAGACTATCAAATGTTTATCTCCAGCTTGGATCTCTCCTTTGAGCTCAGACTTCCATTCCACAGCTCCGTGTGGATGCCTGATCACTATTTGACATTTCATATGCCCAAAACAGAATTAATCATTTCTCCCATCTCCATCACAACCACATCCTGCCCCATCCACCCCCATCCACTCAGTTATTCAGATTAAAAACCTTGGCATCATTACCACATTGCCTATTTTAACTTCTTTTAAACATTTGTCAGTGCCTGTTTGTTCACACACCTTTCATCGGACTCTCTCCATTAGAGTAGCAGTTCTTCCAGGGCAGGAATGCAATCTGTTTTGTTCACCACTACATTCCCAGCATCTAAAATAGTGTCTGACATGCAGTAGGTACTCAATACCATTTACCACCTCTGTGACTCATGGGCCTCCTTTTCTCCATCAGTAAAGTGTACTAAGATTAACTACTTCTTAAGAAAAGTGTAAAATTAAATTAAATGATGTAAATTTGTGCCAGGTATACAGTATACACTCAGCAAATGAGAACTCCTCCTCATCCTGGGAACTTGGAGGAGTGACATATCAATCTAATCACACTTTCACAAACAAGCCTTAAGGAAATGGAAAGAGGAAAAGGAAAACTAAGATAGGTCGAGAATACAGTATTGGGTAAAGGTTGCAAATGACTAAATTAATTATAGTCAGGTACTAGCTATACATATTTTGATAAAAGCAGCAAAAAACTAGACTTCAAATATTCTTAGCACAAGAAAATTACACTTTAGCCCCCGGAAAAGAAAAGCTTGCATTTCTTTGTCAATACTTTAACTGAATCTATTTTCCTATAACTTGGGAGTTTCTTATGGGACCATGTGGCTTCTGGGCACCCACTGAATTTTCCCACCTGTGAGCTGATTATTTAATATTCTCAGGTCTAGAGAAATAAAAGGAGAATTTTCTCTAGTCTATTTTTTTTAAGATTTTATTTATTTATTCATGAGAGAGAGAGAGAGAGGCAGAGGGAGAAGCAGGCTCCCAAGGAGCAGGGAGCCTGATGCGGGACTCGATCCCAGGACCCTGGGATCATGACCCAAGCCGAAGGCAGACGCTTAATGGACTGAGCCACCCAGGCGCCTCTAAACAAAGATATATTTCCATGGCACTTTCCAGGCACTTCTCTTTTTAGCTTCACAACAATCTTATAAAGAACTAAGAGGAATTCAATGGGAAGAATGCAGGAATGTCTGATGCAGAAGGCCTGGAAGCCTGGATTATGAGGAGAAGGAAGAGAACAAAACAAATTTCCAGGATACTGTCCCAAAAGACCATAAGCCATCAGGTGAAGAATATGCTGGTACAGACAGCAGTTTTGACAAGAAGCCATAGGGGCAGATTTATCTTTGTTGAAGGTCGAAGGAGGCTTACACCACTGATAGGACCTTGAATGGAGGTGAAGAGGGTGGGGTCACAGGGTACAAACTACCATCTAGTAAAGTCAAGATTTGGCAAAAGAAGAATTTCTGTTGTGATGGGGTTCCATTATGTTATGAAGCTTCATTTTTCAAGAAGAAGGGGCTTTCCAAGACTTAGAAAATGTAAGAGAGAAGGAATCTTAAAGTCTGAGCCTTATGATCAGACAGAAATAGAAGATAAACCAAAGGAAAATGAGCTGAGACAACTGAATAAAATGTTTCCTGCATTTCACATTTGCCAAGTAATGTGAGACTGCGCTTAAATAGAAGTCTGTTACACTTTAAACTGTGTGTGCTAAACCCCAGTGAAAATGGTGAGAAAGGGAGCCCGGGAAAGGAGAGAGCAGTCAGGGTAAGGACCGCCGGATGCTACTCTCCAGAAGCACTCTTCTGTGAAGAAAGCTCCCTTTAGGGGTAAAAAGGAAGACTGATCTAAGAGTAAGTACATAACGTAACAAGAAACTCACCAAGAAAAGCCCTTAGCCAAACTGAGGGGCTGCCCTTTGACCCTCAGCTATGGTAGGACAGAATGATGAAATCAGTTTCATCAGGAGACTCTTCAGTAAACTGAACGTTCTGGATGGGGCTACATGGGGCTCTGGCAATTCTGAGGAAAGTGTCTTCCCACCACTTTCTTCAAACCTACCTTCCCAGAAAAACAGGTAGAGGGGCTGATGAATTAGTTTTGCATTTGTACTAACAAATTAAAACGGGTTTCTTCCCAGTCTTAAGGTTTCCTTCAACCTTACCTAAAGTCAATACAAATTATATTTATATTGCACTTGTTATTAAACATGTCTGGAGTGTTATTTTTTTTTTTTTCTTAAACCCAGTCGCTATTACCTCCTTAGAGTTAGAAAGTGAATAGCCACCTTTATCCCCAGAATCAGGAAGTTCAACAGAGACACCTTGTTCAGAAGAGGCGTCCAAGGTCACTGGCGAAGTCGGAATGAGCTTGCGGCTTCAGGTAAGTCTTCGTCCCCAGTTTTGAGCAGCGTCTCCTTAGCTGTCCCCAGACGACAGGCTGTGGTCGCGAGAGGGATCTTCCCAGGGAGAGACTGTCCTAAAGGGCAGCTCGGGTCCACGCTGCGGTTTTCAGCGGTTTGCATCTCCACACGGGGACAGGGTATGGTTTCCTGGGGTGGGTGAAGATCTGGGATCCCGGCGGGCGCGAGAAGGGGGTTGTGCAAGCAGATCCTCCGGCCCTCAGCCGTTTCCCTCAAGCCGCGGGAACCCGGGCCTCTGCAGTGCGCCGCGCCCGCCCCAAGTGGCTCCGGGAAAGAGGTGCGACGCAATCCGCTCGTCTCCGCAGACCCGGACGGAGCGCGCAGGCCGCGAACCCCGGAAGCAGGCCCCCTGCGCCCCCCGCGCCGGCCCTCACGGCGCTCACGGCGCGGCGCCCCACCTCCCGGCGCCCACCCTTTTGGTCCCCGCCCTTCTCCTCGCGACGTGCGCCGCTGCCGCGGCGGCCGAGCGGGCTGCTGAGGCCCGGAGGCCGCGGGCACAGAGAGCGCGGGCGGCCAGAGCACCACGTGTCCCGCCCGGGCTGGCGCGGGCGGAGCGGGCCGGGCCTGGCTCCCGGAGCCTGAGCGCCCGCCCGCGCCGCAGCCGGGTCGCGTGCGCACCCGACCCCGGCCCAGCCGGGCCCCGGCCTCCCGGGCGCGCGCGGACGCCTCCTCCTGGATGGCGCGATGGGCCCCTTCTGGGAGAGAGAGGGTAAGAGCGGGCGTCTGTGCGGGGTCCAGCGTCAGAACCCGCGGGCACAGGAGGGCGACCAGCTCTCCTGGGTCCAAGGAGAGCGGAGAAGGATACTCCAGACCAGCGTGGGTGAGGTGGTGTGTCAGGATGCTCGGGGGGCCCACAGAAGGAGGTCGTGGAAAATGGGGACTCTCGGCAGAAGAATAGAGGTGACAGTGTCCCAGGTTGATTGGTCATTGAGGTGGGTGGGCTAGACTCCTTGTCACAGCAGGCAAGGCTGACCAGGCCATAGGTTTGGATCTCCCTTTACTTATTGTCCTCGGGCGTTGAGCTTGGAAATGGTGCCTTTTGATAAGGAAGGTTCGGTAAAGAATTGGTGTTACCGAAAAAGAAAGCCAGCCTCGGTAGATCTCTCCAAAGACGTGGATGGCCCAAAGTCCCCAGACGACACTTTTCAAGTTTCTGCTTCCTTGGGGATTTTTCATACAGATTATTCGAGGTGAAGAGGGAGGACCGAATTTTCTTCAGTATGTTGTTGAAGGGCTCAGCTCATGCGCTCAAAACGTCCTCAAACAGGGTGGCATCGACAGGTGCGATTTAAGATGAATAAATTGTAGACAAAGAGATCGGTAAGCTTAAAATGGTGCATGGGAAGAGATTCTTAAAGCTTTAAATGGAAGGAGTCACTTGGGAAAAACTGCTTTTCCTGTTGTTTTTATCCTGTTCTATAGTGTGGAGCAAGGAAGGAGTGATCTCTAAGAAAGCAGGAAACTCCACTGCTAAGTTCTTTGCAGGTCTTCTGGCCCTGACCCCAGACCCAGGGCAGCAGAAGCAAAGAGCTGCTTGTGTCTCAATCTCCTTTCTCCGAAAAGGGCCAAATGTGAACCCCAAGGTCCAGAATCTTCAACTTAAAGTTTCTGCTGCAGCACTGCCCACCCAGATGCATGGCTAAGCACATTTTAGGGATGTTTGCTTCATCTTCTCCAAAGGGTGCCCTTGGGAGCAAAGGGAGTCAAGTAATCTTAGTGCCAAGTTTTCTCCACCTGTACATTTGGAAGAACAGTAGCCCCTGTGCCCTTGAGAGATGGGTCCAAGTCAGATCATGTTTTTATTTGCTTCAGATTTTAGAGCAGCAATATATTTTCATAATGCAGCTTTTGGTTACTTAAATTGTTTGACAATGACACTATTTTAATGCAGAATACATTTAAATATATTCAATCCTTATTGATCTCCACATATTTAAATCATACTTTCTTAACTTGCTTTGCATTTAATAATCTTTAAAGTAATATCATGATTGAGAACAACAATTACAGGAGTTCTTAAATGCTGGTACCCTAAAAAAAAAAAAAAAATTAGAGTCCAAACCTTCATTTTTACAGATGAGTTACTGAGACTGTAGAGAGTGAGTTGTCCAAGGACATGAATTAGCCAGAGGCAAACTTAGAACCAGCCACCTCCTAACACCTAGCCCTGTGGTTTTCCCATATTTTAGTAAAAATATGTAAGAGCTAAGCATAAATGAGTAATTTTACAAACTAGTGATTGGCAGGTCTTAGAGATGGAGTGAAGAGGTCTGTGATTATAAAGAGGTGTCATGAAGGAGATCTTTGGGATGATGGAATAGCTGTGTATCTTGACTGTGATGATAGTTATATGAATCTGCACATGTGATAAAATATCAGAGTTATGCACACACATTGGACTAATGTCAGCCTACTAGATTTCATATTATACTGTAGTTATGTAAAATACAGTCATTGGGGGAAACTGGGTGAAGGATATATGGACTTCTATACTATCTTAGCAACTTCCTATGAATCTATAATTATCTCAAAATAAAAAGTCTCTTTTTAAAGTAATTTTGTAAGTACTTCAAAATCCAGCTGACTATTTTGCTAACTCTGAGTTGTACACAAAATACCTTGCTTTGCTGTATATGCTATTTTAAGTATGTCATACAAACTAATGCCTGCATATTTGTTCATTTGATATTTTAAAAAACATGTGCACTCCTAAGGTGTATCTGCTCATGCTAGGATATCAGTATATCCTGGAGATACGAAACAGCATCTTAGCAAGAGATAGCAATTTAAGGTAATTTATTTAAAATTTTGGAAAATAGAAGAAAGTGTCTCCTTTAGTTATTGTGCTAAAATAACAGTCAGGTGTTTTTCTTTCCTTTTTTTTTCCTTGCATGAAAATACTGAGGTCTTAGGTCTACAGTTGGTCTTTCCTCTTCTTAGAAGGATGTTTTCTGTGTTTCAGGTGATTAAATGGATAGATAATCACTACGCAGAAGTGATGGGAGGACATAGGCTTCCTTTAGAAAGAAACTGTTAGTCATAATGACTTTTTTCTTTATGAGAATTTAGGAATGTAAATTTATTAAAATATTTGAAAAGTTTTTTTGTGGATTTTTAGAGCTCCCTCATCAATTCCAGGGTGAGGTTTCTCTTATGGGGTTCGCCACCAATGGCAGAAGCCCTAGAACACATTCCAAAGGAGATGGAAAACTAAAGCTTTGGTGGTCCTGTAGACTGAGGTCCTTGTAGATCATGGCAAAGGAAAGGAAGTTTCTTGTATACACACTTCCGACCAAAGAAATATCATTCTCTGAGGTGCCTGAGTAGCTCACTTGGTTGAGCGACTGACTCTTGATTTCAGCTCTGGTCATGATCTCAGGTGGTGAGATCGAGCCCTGCATAGGGCTCAGAGGGGAGTGTGCTTGAGATTTTCTCTCTGTCCCTCCCTCTGCCCCTCCCTCTGTGCATGCTCACTCGTGCTCTCTCTCTCTCAAATAAATAAATAAATCTTAAAAAAAAAAAGAAAGAAATATCATTCTCCGTGAGAGGAGGAAATATTTCCAGAACTTCAGTTACTCTAGTACACTTCACAATTTCTACCATTTCTAAATACAAATTGTACTACTATTTACTTAATTTACCAAAATTTATATTGACACACTATTTTTTTTTTTTTTTACTTAGCCTTCATCTAGGGAATAATATCCACGAAATACCAAGTTTTATGTGTTAGTTATATTTCTTCCAACACGTACAAATAAATGTAAAGATTTGAAAGAGACCTAGCCATCATCCTGGTACTACCAGTGGTACACCTCAGGACGCAGGAGTGCTGTACAATGACAAAGCTTCAGGAGGCGCCCAGGTGGTAGTGAGGGAGGCAAGCCCAGCTCCACAGAGCAGCTCGTGATCAGTGGTATAATGGAGAGAGAACTAGGTTGCTTCCATATCCTAGGAGCCATTTCAAAAATGGCCTATTATCCCTTCTAGAAAATAAACAATTTTCATTAAGCTTTTTAAATTATATACTATTCCTAAAAGTACTCTCATTCTTCATTGGAGTGGAGCATCTCAGCAAGTATATTTATAAAGCTCTGTAGAAACTAAAAGCAATATTTGGTTTTTCTTTCTATAATTTATGGTAATGACTTTACAAGTTGTCTCTCAGGCTTAATCACCAAGTCATATGAATGTGGGCTTTTTCAGTCTCTCTCAGAGTAGGTTAACTCAGTTTACTTGAACTATAAGGCATTTGATTTGGCATAGAAATCCCCTTGAAAAACATCATGGATGAGAAAACCTTTGCATTCTTCAAGTGAATTCTAAAAACCATATGAGAAAAGAAGGGTGGATGAGTATGAAAGGACCAAAACAGCATTCCTAAAAATGCTTTCAAGGAGCTTTAACTCCTTGGGCTTCTGCTGGTTCCAAAATGAACTTTTACAGCCATCAAACTTAAGTGAGAATATCCACTCATCAAAAGAGAAGACAGGAGCGCCTGGCTGGCTGAGTTGGTGGAGCATGCAGCTCTTGATTTCTGGGTTGTGGGTTTGAGCCCCCCGTTGAATGTAGAGATTACTTAAAACTAAAATCTTAAAGAAAAAAAAGGAAAAGACAAACATTTACTGTAACAACATGTGGTTTACAAAGGCATTCTTCAGAGCTGTGATTCCTTTTTATTTAAAGAATCTATTTGCAAGCATTAAAAGGATTGGTTGCTTTGTTTTTAACTTTGTTTCTCAAGAAATATTAGCATGCCTCATGGACAGTTGAAAAATATCTTCCTAGACCTTACCTACCACAAAATCCATATTTGAGAGAAAAAAAAAGTTCATTTTTTTACTATGACTGAACTGATATAAGGGGAAATTAACTGAGTCACAACCTAAATCCCCCAGTTATTTCTGACCCTTTGTTTCAAAAAAATCTAAGTTATTTACAAAATCAAATCAGATTATTTTTAATACATGGTAATTTAAAAAAATATTTTCTTGGGGTGTCTGGTTGGCTCAGTAGGTGGAGCACGTGACTCTTGATCTCAGGGTTGTAGGTTCAAGCCCCACATTGGGTGTAGAGATTACTTTAAAAGAAAAATCTTTAAAAAAATATTTTCTTTATCCTCTTATCAATACAAATAGAAAAGCAAGAGGTTGGATTAGAACAGAATCATTCATAGGTCTATCACTAGACCACCTCATTTTGGAATTACAGTCGGCCACAGCATGAAGAGATTTAAAAACAAAGACAAGATGTTTTTCCTCAAGGAGGATGATACTGTTGTTG